AGACGCGATCGCACTAGCGCCGCTTCCGCCCGAAATGGGCACGGCACTAGCCGATGGTTGCCGCCTCGCTTAGAGGGCAATGCTATTCTTTGGCGCCGCGCCAAAGGATTACGTTGCCTCCCAACGCTGCAAGAAATGAAAAACATAAGTCACGATGAAATCCACCCAAAACAGAGGAAGTAGGGGAACTGATAACTTACCTCAGCGCCGTCGGGCAGCATATATGTTTGGGGGGTGAACCCTCGACCTATGCTCCGCCTCATTGGGGTGAGGCCGCTTCGATCCCGCCCCCTGCTCCTGGGCAGAGGGGCTCACTCCCCTTGACTCTTGGGGCACGGCAGCGGAGCCGCCCGCCTTTGTCGGCATCTCAGGGGTGGTGGTAGAGCCGTCCGCCCCTGTTGACTCCTGAGGGAGGGCGACGATATGTCCCGCCTCTGTCGGCTCCCCGGACATACCCTCCCCTCCATGGAACTAAAAGGGTCCTGACTCCTGCAAGGGTGAACCACTACCTATCAGCACATATTCGTTCTCCAGGATGCCCCACTCGACATCATCAGCTACCTCCTTGTCGTTGTCATCATCATCGTCGTCGTCGCTGTCGGTGTCCTGTCCCCGTTCCCACGCTTGCAGCTTTCGTTGCCTTTTCCTCCTCTTGTCCTCCTTCGCCTTCCTCAGCCGCTCGCCCTTGGCGTGATTCACCGCCCTCATAGATGAATCCCTCGGCAACATAGCTAGGTGATCCGTAAAGATGAGGTCCCTTGGCTGGTCCCATCCCCCTCAAAGTTAGTATCAAGAGATCGGGAAATCAACTGAAGAAAAGACACGGAAAGGGGAAACTTTCGAAGATGACATGACCTGGCTTTAGCCGCATCGGAGGATGCCCCGGCATCGGATAAATGAAGTCGAGGGGGCACCCGCATCATCCCGCGAAGGCTCCATCACCTCCTTGATCCATTGCGCGATCTCAGAGTTGGAAAGCACCCCCTCGGCGAGCGCCGTTCCGTCAAACGATGCCTCGGGCGCCATCGCATAAAGCGAGAGCACGCGCGTCATCAACGGCGCCACCCTCCTTGCGTGGTAGGCCCCAATGATGCCTGACCCCTTCAAGCCTTTCTCCTTGAGGATCTAGATGGCGGCGATGTGGTCTCGGATTTTCTTCTTGTCCTTCTCTAGGACGCCTACTTCCTCCATGACTCCAGGGCCTCTTCGATCAAGCGCCCGGTGAACTCCGACAAAGCGGCGGCGGTGGCGGCGTTCTTGAGGTAGAACCACTGTGAGTGCCACCCCTTGTTGGATGTCGACAGCCGCATCGACGGGTACTCGCTGACTCGATTGTTCCGAAGCTAGATGCCGGTGCACCCCATCGGCATGTGCTGCTCCTGCCTGCCGCTTTTCTCCCTCTCCTTCTAGAGGGTGATGGCGAAGAAGTACCTCTAGAGATCGAAGTGGGGGCTGATCCCTAGGAATCCCTCGCACAGGGCGACGAACATCGCCATGTGCTGGATCCCGTTGGGACTGAGGTGCTGTAACTCGATCTTGTAGTAATGTAGCAGCCCCCGAAGAAATTTATGGGCGGGGGTAGCAAACCCGTGCTCATGGAAGTGCGCAAACGACACCACGTAGCCGTCGAGCAGCAACGGCAGATCCTCCTCGCTGGGCAGCAGCCACTCGTCGGCCGAGGTCCACGCACGGAGAAGGCCGTGACGGATGAGGCCCTCCATGCGCTAGAAGGTGATGTCAGAGCGGCACCATGGATCCATTGGAAGATGGGGGCGGGTGGATGCGAGCTCGACGGTAGCGGGGACACGGATGCAGGAAGCCTAGGCGACTGACGGCGGCGGTTGCAGATGCGAAGGCAAGAAGACAAGGTATGAAACCCGGGGGCAAACCCTTTGGTTTTATAGGGGCGATGGGCGCGAGGAAACCAACCGTCCACCTAGATCTCCGTGCCTGCCATGATTTGTCACAACATCACGCCATGGGATATGCGCACGCAATCTCTATTCGTTCCCTCGGAAAAATCGCCGGATGTTTCGCCTCTCCAGACAGGTCATGACTCATCGCAAGTGCGAGGAATACGGATCTAAAAATGTCTCTACAGCCCGTCTGGCCCTAGGAGCTCAAAGGTTGGCCCATCGATGGGTTCGACAACCGCTCTGGGCACCTAGAAGGTAAGGAAGTAGAAAGGGGTGGGTCACCAGCTGGCCCTAGCCGGATCCCCACGAACGGGATACCGGGGCCCCAATCAGGAAAGACCTTTTTCCAAACCACCAAATCTTATGGCCATACCCGCGAAGGGTCTGGTCTCAACGAAAGGGAACCACCATTCCCAGGTTACGCCATGGGCTACAAAAGAAGGACAAAACCCTTAGAGTCCTCCTATTTGGAAAAGCCTCCGAAGGAGTATTCTACTCCTCCGAAAGCTCAGGGGCTACTGTCGGGGACCAATACTAGGGTACCCGAATAGGAGGGGCTAATGGTCCTTATACGTTAATCCATCCAGGAAGTCAAAGGTGCGACTACAGTTTCAACCGACACTAAGGCAGTGGGCTCCGCCTCGCCCGACCCCAAGGTCGTGCAATCCGTCTCGCCCGACCTCTGGGGATGGGCTCTGCCTCACCCGACAATGAGGGCGCGGGCTTCGCCTCACCCGACCTCTAAGGGTGGGCTCCGTCTCGCCCAACCCGAAGGTCGTGCGATCCGCCTCGCCCGACCTCTGGGGATGGGCTTCGCCTCGTCCGACACCGACACCGCGGGCTCTTCCTCACATGACCTCAGGGGATGGGCTTCGACTCGCCCGACACCGAGGCCGCGGGCTCCACCTTGCCCGACCCCAAGGTCGTGCGATCCGCCTCGTCTGACCTCTGGGGGCGGGCTCTGCCTCACCCGACACCGAGGCCGTGGGCTCCGCCTCGCTCGACCTCTGGGGACAGGCTCCGCCTCGCCCGACATCGAGGCCGCGGGCTCTGCCTCGCCCGACCTCTAAGGGCGGGCTTCGCCTCGCCCAATCCCAAGGTCGTGCGATCCGCCTCGCCTGACCTCTGGGGACAGGCTCCGCCTCGCCCGACACCGAGGCCGCGGGCTCCGCCTCGCCCGACTTCTGAGGGTAGGCTCCGCCTCACCCAATCCCTCGGGCATAGCTCCTAATGGAAGCTCACGCCGCCGCCAACCACTACGGGCCAGAAAAGTACGACCCAAGGTCAAACTTCTGACATCGTACAGGGAGCGGTCACGTCTCAACACGACCCATCCCCGCGACATGTCATTCCAGGGAACTCACATCGCCCACAGTGATGAACGCGTGGTCACTATGTTGCCTACTCCATGTACGGCCGCTGATCAGCGCGTTAATTCGTCGCGCCGCCAACAGGGCGGAGTGGGACGTGATGACCCGCTGACAATGCCAGGGCATGGCATCATCGGCGGACAGGCGCCCCGCGTGGAGCTGTCTCTGTCACCACCTGTCGTGTCAGCGGGGCCCGTACAAAAGAAAAGAAAGGTCCGACGACCCTGAAGGACTTCCTCTCTCTCGTTCTTCTCTTTTCTCTCGCTGTAACCCGTGCTTTTCCTTGGCCTATAAAAGGGAAAGCAGGACACCCCACTAAGGGGCATCGCACCGCATCAGATCAAGAACACTAGCATCGAACCTCGAACACATAGCCGAGCAGCGACCGAGCTCTCGGTACCCATTCATTCTTTCCACCAGAGACTTGGGATATGTCCCTCTCTCGACTGTTTGTAACCCCTACTACGAACTTTTCAATGCTACTAACACGAGCAGCAGCAACGAACTGGACATAGGGACATTCTGACCGAACCAGTATAAATCTTATGTCCTCTTAGCACACCATCGATCAGACAAAAAATATTAGAAATTTATTCGGTAATATTTACTCAAAACACCGACAACCTTATAGGCCAGCTCAGCTACAGGCCATGTGGCATGCCGGATCCGATCTGCCTGCCCAACATGCAGGTCACATGTTCGGGCCCCTCCACTCCGATCGCCGAACCCATCTACCAGAGCTCGTCGTCCCTAATGACCGCCGCCCCCACAGACAAAGAATCTCGATTACTTTACACCGACGAGCAATGATAAATTGATAATGCCGACGACCACGACGACGATGCTGCCTGCGTCTGGCTCGGGTAGATCAATCGCTCGAGCCAGGACAAAAACACAGGTGGCGAAACAAGAGGTTGCAGAGGCGTCTGCCTCTCCAGGACTCTGAATGTGATATCTCCAGCTTGTTCATCCCCATCTGGCCATCTGCATCCAACCAACCTGCCAGTTGGAGCACTGCACTGGCGGCTGGCAGCACATCATACGCATCGGCGCATCGCTTTACAGCCTCGCTCACAACACCGGGTTTCGACAGGGTTTGTTTGGTTAACGATAAGAGGAGGATCGAGCAAACAAAGCTGAGAAAAGAAAATAAATAATTACAGTGCTGCAACACAGAGACCAGGTTCGCAAGCTGCTTCCTGAAGCAAAGAGGGAGAGAGATCTACCTCTACCAGGCATAACCAAGCGAGAGAGAGAGAGAGAGAGAGAGATCTACCAGACTACCACGACCTACAACACTTTCTGCACCAAGGCGACTGCAAAGCTCTTATGAACACAAAAGAAAAGAAAAAAGAAACCAAAGGTTAGTTCGCTTCTCCAGCGTCAGCGCGCAGAGGACGACCGATTTGATGACTGGGTCGGACACCTGGACCGGCCAGCATCGGGGATCCAACAGGTCAAGCTCCTGAATAAGGACTCTCCCTGTTTCGAGCACAAACTGTTCACGCCTTCTCTCCATGTTGATGGATTCTTTGCCTCTTGAGAGAGTGATGACCAGTACTGAACCTTTGCCCTGCTGCCCACACCCAAGTGCCCCACCGGCTGGCCACCTCTGCGCTTCCACTTCCACGGGGCACAAGAATTTATTCAACGCCATTTTCACTGTGTCCGGACCTGTCCATTTCCGCTGCAACAACCCAGGTCTCGGCACGGATCAAGGTAGGGCCTTGGACATGTCCTTGCTCGACCTGTTGTATTTCATGTGGCTCTTCACGAGCTGCCCGGCGGCCAGCGCAGACAGGAGGGAGAGCTCCCCGGCAAGGACCCCGCCGGCCACCACGGTGGCCAGGAGCCTCGCGTTCGATCCGGGGGAGTCCCGGTTTGCGCCTTTCACGCCCAGGAGGTCTAGGCAGGCGGACTGGGAAGCCAGCTGAGTCCCGCCGCCAACTGTGCCCACCTGCAATTCAGAAGTAATCGTCAGTGCTTGGTCTGGAATCATCGTTTTGTAATTATTGTTGATGATTTCATGGAACAGTTGGTTATGAGACCCCTTCAACCAAAAGGTATTAAACAAATAATCTTAGGGAGCTCCGTAGTGGTATATGCCATCATGGTTAACAAAGACAAATCAGTAGAATTATTATGTGCCTCATCAATCATAATAGAGGCCAAAAGCCTACTCATCAAGCCAGCAAATAGACGAGTGGAATAGGAAAACAACAAGAAGAAAAGATTCCTTTTTGTTGGGAATGGAAGAAAATGTTCCATTGGAGTCAAAACAGCTGTCGTGATGGCAAAGAAATGCAGCCCAATGTAATGCGTTCATTATGTCATATTTGCAGAATAGACGACTGTGTTTGCCCTACCAGTGCACAATCAAAATACAACGCTAGTTTTGCAGAAGATCAGCATTCATTATGTCACCTTTTCTTTATTAATAAAGGAAGTTGGTAGATGGGATGATCAAAAGGAAAGGATTCAAAGGTCAATTATTCATGGAAAAGGATGTGAAAGTTAAGTCCCAGCACATTTGGGACCATGAGATGCGCGCAGAGCATTTGTTGCAAAACAAAATCAAAGTGGGACCAAACATACTGTAGGCAAAGCATATCACCAGCACCAAAACCTGGATACGTTGGCGCTTCAATACAAAAACGTGCATTGTTGCGTACCTCAATAGAAGGCATCGTGACAGATATGTGAAGATCTTTTCCGTCATTTATAGGTTCCAGCATTGTGATGCAGTGGGAGCTTTCGACGTTCTGTGCAGGATCCTGGCCAGTGGCGATGAAGATGGCCGTTACAATATTGCTCGCATGAGCATTGAAACCCCCAAGAGCTCCAGCGATAGCCGAGCCAGCAAGATTCTTGATTGTGTTCAGCTCGACTAGTGACTGCACATTTGTTTTTAGAACCTTTTTCACCACTTCCTCCTTGATTACAGCCTCGCAAACCACAGACTTTCCACGCCCTTCAATCCAATTCACAGAAGCTGGCTTCTTGTCAGAACAGAAGTTACCTGATTTAAAGAGTGAAAGATATTGGTTAGCCTGGGAACATTACAGGAGTATACGTACAAAGTATGTTGTAGGATCTTGCATCTACAATTATATAGTCATTTGACGCACAAAGTTATGCTGATGGAATCAATTATGACCAGGTCCAGGAAGAATCAGATATGACAGAAGACATTAATAGTACACGAAAGCTGCTAACTTGAGTAAACAAAGTAGTGGGCAAGTGGCAGAAATACGCCATCTTGAAATATTGTTTCTTGTGATCTAACAAGATTATGCTGATGCAACCAGGTTTTTATAGTACAGTCAAATATTTCATGCATCTTGTTTTTGTAAAAGCACTGACGTTGCTGATTGTGTAAAAGTACTTATGTTTCTGTTTGAAATCGGGTGTTTGGTTCCACGGACTAAATTTTAGTCCCTGTCACATCAGATGTTAGGACACTAATTTGGAGTATTAAATATAGACTAATTACAAATCTAACTACATAAATTGAGACTAATTTGCGAAACGAATCTAGTAAGCCTAATTAGTCCATGATTTGACAATGTGGTGCTACAGTAAATATATGCTAATGATGGATTAATTAGGCTTAATAGATTCATCTCGTAAATTAGTCTCCGTCTGTGTAATTAGTTTTATAATTAACTCATGTTTAGTCCTCCTAATTAGCATCTGAACTTCCGATGTGACAGGAACTCAACTTTAGTCTCTGGAAAGTCTAAGTCAGTATTGGTTTCTGTGCAGTATCTTTGTATTATAAAACACTGTGTGGTATCTTTGTCTGAAAAATAAAGCCATTTTTTTTGCTTCCTGAAATCCTAATGCATAGCGAAGTGATGGAGTACTTAAACTTCATATACCATGCCACACTGGTTCACTGACCAACTAAATTTAAAGAGGTGCAGTTAGATTTAACAATCCAATGTTCAGCACCTTTTTGTCCTCAAGCTTCCCTCAATGATTCAATAGAATAAATAGTACTAGGTATTTATACTGCCAATAGGTCTTTCATACTTATTGTTCATTGAAGACTCCTTAGTATGGTCAGGATTCAAATAAGGCCCTGTTTAGTTGCACCCCAAAATGCTAAATTTTTCAAGATTTCCCGTCACATCGAATCTTTGGACGCATGCATGAAGCATTAAATATAAATAAAAAATAAAACTAATTACACAGTTTAGACGAAATCCACGAGACGAATCTTTTAAGCCTAATTAGACTATGATTGGACACTAATTGTCAAATAACAACGAAAACGCTACAGTAGCATTTTGCCAAAAATTTTGGCATCCAAACTGGCCCTAAGATAACACTTTGCAGACAAGTACAACAGCAAGCGATGAATTATTTTAGGGGGGAGGCTATGTGCCCTTTACCTTAAATGTGAAAACGAATTTAAGTTTTTTTTAGGATAGAAGAATGCGCTGAAAGTTCAGTACACTAAGCAGCCACTATGTGACTCAGTCAGGTGAGGCGATTCGACTTATCCCAAAAGCGCGAGAGAAAGGCGAACCTGATATGCTAATGACATCCATGTCAGGGAAGTCGTCCTGAAGGAAATCCAGCACATTCTGCACGCCCTTTGACACCATGTTCATCCCCATGGCGTCCCCTGTGCTGCAGATGAATCTCATGTACAGGTTCCTCCCTGCCATGGCGCAGTGCACACCCTGCAGCCTCGCGAACCTGCTCGACCTGCTCACATTTGATGGTGTTCCCAAACAAGTCAGCAAGCGTGTCATGCTCAATCATCCTACACAACGATTTCAAAACCTTGCAGGAGAAGTAATGGATGAAAGGAAAAAATGGTTTTGATTGCTTAATGATTTGATTAAGACATAGCATGTTCGTTTGGCGGTGGCTTGTCGTAAACGATTGTAAATTTTCAGCCGAAACAATATTTTTCTCTCACACAAACCAGTCAGTAGTACTTCTTCACGAACCAGCGACGAAACGAACCAGCCAACCGAACGGGCTGACAGGCGTCTTGTACTATACTACTATGGAGACGTATCGTGGAATTTGTGCCGCATGTTATCCTCAACATGGTGCCATTTGTCTCAGGACATGTTTAGTTGGCGATTTTTTTTGGAAAATGATACTCTAGCATTTTCGTTGTTATTTGACAATTAGTGTTCAATCATAGTCTAATTAGACTTAAAAGATTCGTCTCGTGAATTTCGTCTAAACTATGTAATTAGTTTTATTTTTTATTTATATTTAATGCTTCATGCATACGTCAAAGATTCGATGTGACAAGAAATCTTGAAAAATTTTATAAATTTTTGGAAACTAAACAACACCTCATTCTAGATGTGCACGAGTCGGATTGAACCTCAACATGGTTCGTTTGGATGGGGATCGTGGAATTTGTGCAGCGTGTTAACCTCAACCGGCCCTGATGATTTCAGGCAGGGTTTATCAGGCACGGTTCAGTATTTTTATCTCGAAAAAAACCAAACGGCCGGGCTTATCAGTCCATACGGAATGCTATCAAGATTTTTGTCGCAAAATTCAATTCACCTGTTGAAGACCATGGAGAGCGTGTCAAAATTAGCAGGGTCCTCGAGGAATGCCTTGAGCTCGGCTGCGCGGCGCGCGGTGGGGAAGCGGGCGACGGGGGCGCGCGTCATCCCGTCCCGCAGCACAACGCTGGTGGCGCCGCCCGACTCGGCGATGGCCTTGCAGCCTCGGTTGGTACTGGCGACGAGGCAGCCCTCCGTGGTGGCCATGGGCACGTAGAACCTCTGGCCGTCGAGCAGGAGCGGGCCCGCGATGCCCACGGGCAGCTGCACGTACCCGACCGGTAGCTCGCAGCACTGGCCGAGGATGGAGGCGTAGTCGAAGCCGTCGAGCGGGAGGCCGTCGATATCCCTCCCCGTGATCCGCTGCACGGCCTCGCGCCGGATGCCGGCGGCGCGGCGGCAGTCGCCGAGCCTGGTCTCGAGCACGTAGGACGGGATCTTCCCGGCGATGACCGAGGCGACGATCTCCTCGTCCTCCTCCGGCATTTTCTCGAGCGCCGCAGCGGCGGCGGTGCTCCCGAGCAGCGCGCACGGGGCCGGCGCCTGCGCCTGCTGCCGGGAAGAGGGCGGCGCCGCGGCGGCGGGAGCTCCGGACGACCCGACCAGGAAGTCCTCGTCGTCGTCGCTGGACGAGACGATGGACTGGACGAAGGCGATGCCGAAGAAGCTGAGCAGGTAGATGAGCGAGGCGATGAGGCCGAATATGGCGAGCATCTCGGCGAGCCCGACGACGTGGAGCGGCGTGGAGGAGCGGATCTTCTCGCGCCACCGGCGCATGAGGTACGCCAGCGACACCGCGAACAGCGCCGAGAAGATGAGGTTGGTGTGCCGTAACGGCAGCGGCAGCGCGTCCCCGGCCTGCACCCTCGCCGCCGCCGCCCGGTGCGGCGGCGGGTGCCGGTGCCGGGCCGCCGCCGCCGAACCCTGCCCCACCACTCCACGGCCGCGCACTTCCATGGCCGGCTCCGGCGCACGCGCGCGGTCACTCCGCGGCCAACGAGTCAAGACCGACGTCGTGACGGGCAGTGAGTGGTCGCGAGCTCTGTCGCCCCCACCAAAGGTGTATGGGGGGCTATGGCCGGCCGCGCCGCGAGCCGCGAGGAGGTGGGGAGGAGACCGGCGGTGGAGCGGCTGTCTCGGGGTGACCCTCCTCCACTCCTCGGGACGCGGGCGGCCACGGGGAGGCCGGCCGGCAGCGGCCGGCGCGGGCCTTTAATAGCGGCGGAGCGTGAGCGGAGCGACTGGCAGGCAGCCCACGACGTCCGGTGCGCTTACCGCACGCAGACGGGCCCACGAGGCTGCGAGCGCACCAGCTGGCCACCAGGGCGGGCCCACGGTGCCGCGCCGAGAGCAGCCTCGAGCGAGCCGGCGTGGCCGCTTCGGCCTTTTGCTGCGCTTGCCTAGCTTTTCGCTTGTGGAATCGTGTGGAGGGAGGGAGATCGCATCGTCCAAACGCATTCGTTTACTTAGGCCTTTTGGCTCAAAATTCTAAGTTTTTTCACTCTTTCTTCGTCACATCAATTTCTAGACGTATACATGGAGCATTAAATGTAGGTAAAAAAAATTAATTATACAGTTTGGTTGTAAATCACGAGACGAATCTTTTGAGCCTAGTTAGTTCATGATCGGACAAAGTTTGTCAAATACAAACAAAACGTGCTACAGTGTCCAAATTACAAAAATTTGCAATCTAAACAAGGCCTTATTTGAAAAAACATCAGCTTATGCCACGACATGATCACAGATCAGAGAGCGCTTTATTACTGCTAAGCGCATGTTTAGTTAGGGGAAAGTTGAAAATTTGGCTACTGTAGCACTTCCGTTTTTATTTGAAAAATAGTATTTAATCATGGACTAATTAGGCTCAAAACGTTCGTCTCGTAATTTCCAACCAAACTGTGCAATTAGTTTTTTTCGTTTACATTTAATGCTCCATACACGTATCGCAAGATTCGATGTAATGGCTACTGTAGCACTTTTTGGGAATTTGGGGTGGGAACTAAACACGCGCTAAGCCATTTTTTGACTGTATTGTACAGCACCGCTATTCGGAAAAGTCGTCTCCGTACTCCTTCGTAGCTGCTGGCGTTTTGCTTCTGTCACAGCCGTGACGCGGAATCTTTCCCCTACGAACGACGGCTTTGTGGAAATGACCGAATATGTCATGGAATTTTTTTCACGATCTTCTCGTAGGAGAATCGGAGTCGTCCTCCGACTCTTACTTTAGCAGGGGGAGCCATCACCTCTCGCGAGAATGTTTCATGACGGGTACCGCCGAGGGATACATCGAAAGTATCCACGAGAGAGGGGCTATCCCATCAGACAACCCCAACGACGAGGTCGAGGAGGATATAGGGGCCCCGCCTCACCTGCGGGTATAGCAGCTGAGGGCACGACACCAAGAGCTCGAAGAAGCACGACTCCAGCTCGAGCAGGAACGCGCGGAGCTCGAGCAAGAGATCGAGTGCCACGGAGACGGTGCGTGTGCGCGTGTCGTGGCCCGTAACGTGAACCGGATGATCATCGAGGACAACGAAGCCCTCCCACACTTCACCCGGGCAAGCCAGAACATAGCTGCCACAGTGACCTTACTCCAGGGGCTTCCGGAGCCCGCGACACCCGAGGATCATCGGGCCCATCGTGAGATTCGCACGCTACTCGAGCGTGCGGCGGCGCAGCAGGCCGAGAGCTCGCTGTCTCAACGACGCGAGCTCGACGCCAGCCAGCGCACGCCCTCGGAGCGACCCCGACAAGGATATGTCAGTCCACCAGGCATAGTAAGGCGGTAGGCCACGCGCCACGGCCCCGGTGCATGAGTGTCTCAGCCTCCACCGTGACCCGTGTGACACCCTGGATGCCCACAGGCGTGCCCACGGCAATGAGAGGGAGGAGGCTAGCCACGGCTACCACCCTCGTCGTGGTGGACGCTACAACAGCGGCGAGGACCGAACCCCGAGCCCTGACTTGCCAGGACCTCAGGTCTTTGGCCGACACATCCTCAATGTCGTCTTCCCAACGTGGTACCGACCGCCGACCAATATCTCGAAATACTTTGGAGAAACAAACCCCGGACTGTGGCTCGACGATTATTGGCTTGCTTGCCAAGCCGATGGAGCGGATAGTGACGATTTCATTATTCGCAACCTTTCATTGTTCCTGACCAATTCGGCGCAAACGTGGTTGGAACACCTTCCGCCCAACCAAATCCAAAGTTGGGCGGACCTAAAAGAGATCTTCATAGGAAACTTCTAGGGCACATACGCGCGTCCTGGGAACCCATGGGATCTAAAAAACTATCGACAGAAGTCCAGGGAAACTCTTCGTGGGTACATCCGGCGCTTCTCCTAACAGTGCAACGAGCTGCCTAACGTCGCCGACACTGACGTCATAGGAGCTTTCCTATCTAGGACCACCTGCGAGTCCCTGGTTCATAAGCTAGGACGTAAGGGCCCGCGAACCACCAAGGAGCTCATCGACATCGCCACCAGCCACGCCTCAGTCGAGGAGGCGGTCGACGCGATTTTTGACCGCCCCAAGGGCAAGGCAAAGCGGGGAGAGGACGCTGACGAAGGCGCCTCCAACCGCCCCAACAAGAAGAAGAACAAGCAACAGTGCGAAGGCTCGCTCGTGGCCACTGCCGACCGCAAGTGGGTCGGAAGCCCGCCGAGGGTACCCCCAGATCACTTCGAGAAGCTACTCGAAGGGCCATGCTCGAACCATACTTTCCTCGTCAAGCACCTATGCAAGGACTGCGTCCTCATGAAGTTGTTCTTGTTTGGAGGCTCCAACAAGGGGGAGCATAAGAAGGAGCCCAAGCCAGTCACAGACGACGCCGAGGGGAAGGATGGCAGATTTCCAACGCTGGATGGCTGCCTCATGATATTCGGAGGGTCGGCGACCTATGACTCCAGGCATCGCCAGAAGCTTGCGTGCCACAAAGTCTATATGGTCGAGCCAGCCGTGCCTTCCTTCCTCCAATAGTTAGAGTCCGCCATAACCTTTGATCGGACCGACCACCCGAAACGCGTCCCGCAGCCGAGAAGATATCCGCTCGTGGTCGACCTGATCATCGGCACTAAGCGGCTCACCAAGGTGCTGATGGATGGAGGCAGCGGCCTCTACATCATGTACGCTGAAACCCTCGACGCCATGGGCATCGACCGATCGCGCATCGGACCGACTAGGCGCCTTTCCACGGCACCGTACCTAGAAAGCAGGCCATACCACTTGGACAGATCGATCTGCCCATCACCTTCAGGAATCTGACCAATTATAGGAAGGAGACCCTTACCTTCGAGGTGGTCGGTTTCCATGGGACCTACCACACCATCCTGGGACGTTCATGCTACACGAAGTTCATGGCCGTCCCCAACTACACCTATCTGAAGTTGAAGATGTCGGGTCCATGCAGGGTCATCACCATCGGCACCTCCTTCTAGTGTGCCTACGAGTGGGAGGTCGAGTGATGCGAACACGCCACGACAATTGTCACCTCCAAAGAGCTTGCGGCCATCAGGGAGGAGGTCATCTAAGAAGCGCTCGACCCCAAGTGGTTGGCCGGGTCCTTTGAGCCTGTAGAGAGCGCCAAGGAGGTCCTCATAGACCCCAGTGGCTCCAAGGGTAAAGTGGTGCACATTGTCACCACGCTTTTCTCTAGATAGGAAAACGCGCTCACCGACTTTCTCCACGCCAACAGAGACATCTTTGTGTGGAGACACTCGGACATGCCAGGCATTCCGAGAGAAGTCATCGAGCATGCCTTGAAAATCAGGCCAGGCTCCAAGCCGATAAAGCAATGCCTGCGTCGCTTCGATGAGGAGAAACGCAGGGCCATCAACGAGGAGATTGTGAAGCTTTTGGTGTCCGAGTTCATCAAGGAAGTATACCCCCCGAGTGGTTAGCCAATCCCGTTCTTGTACGAAAAAAGAGTGGGAAATGGATAATGTGTGTTGACTACACGGGTCTCAACAAAGCATGTCCAAAGGATCCATTTCCTTTGCCACACATAGACCAAGTAGTCGACTCGACCTCAGGGTGCGAAACCCTTTGCTTCCTTGATGCGTACTCCGGGTACCATCAAATCGCGATGAAAGAGTCTGACTAGCTCGCGACATCTTTCATCACCCCATTTGGATCATACTGCTATGTCACAATGCCGTTTGGCTTGAATAACATGGGGGCTACGTACCAACTGAAAGGTCCTAATGGCTAGAGGGGGGTGAATAACCTATTAAAAATTTCTACAACAACACTTAGCAAACCGGTTAGACAAATATGAGGCGAAGCGAGTGTTGCGCTAGCCTACTAAAAATGCAAGACACCTACCACAATTTTAGTTTATATAGTCTCTATCCACACAATGGCTATGTCACTACACTAAGTTAGTGTGCTCTCAAAGGCTAACTAAAGAGCCACACTAACCAAACTAACAAGCTCTCATGACTAGCTATACTAGAGAGCTTGACAACTAGTTTGCGGTAATGTAAAGAGAGAGAGAGAGCAAGATGGTTATATAGCCGAGTCGAGGAATGAACCAATCAATCACAAGAATGAATACCAATGAAGACCAATCACCTCAGAATCAAATGATGACACAATGATTTTTTATCGAGGTTCACTTGCTTGTCGGCAAGCTAGTTCTTGTTGTGGCGATTCACTCACTTGGAGGTTCTCGCACTAATTGGCATCACACGCCAAGCCCTCAATAGGGTGCCGCACAACCAACACAAGATGAGGATCACACAAGCCACGAGCAATTTACTAGAGTACCTTTTGGCTCTCCGCCAGAGAAAGGTCAAGAACCCCTTATAATCACCACGATTGGAGCCAGAGACAATTACCAACCTCCGCTCGATGATCCTCACTGCTCCAAGCCATCTAGGTGGCGGCAACCACCAAGAGTAATAAGAGAATCCTGCAGCAAAATATGAACACCAAGTGCCTCTAGATGCAAACAC